GTGGGGACATGAACCTGAGGGAGCACAAATGCCATCAGCCCCTGGGGCCAGCAAGGGCTGGGGGACACCAGGGAAACCACTCAGCTTTGTCCTGGCCTCTGCAGTCAGCCAGAACGTTTGTTCCCATCAGCTGGGACTTTCTGTCCCACTGCAGACGCTGTTGCCCAGAGCCAGGGCTGCTGGCCGCCACTCCCCAACTGCCCTCAGCATTTCCTTTGCTTCACCTTTGCTTTCTTTACTCTTTCCTTGTACAAATTTCTTCTTATGTCCCACTCCAGGGCTCCAAGAACTGGACACAGCACTTGAGGTGTTCCCCAACCAGTGCTGAGCACAGGGGAAGAATCACTGTCCTAGTCCTGCTGGCCACACCATTCCTGATCCATAGGAGTGCCACGGCTTGGATGAGGGAAATGGTGGGGAGTGGGTGGGGACAAAGTGTGATTGTCAGCCATTAAGGGTGTTGACTTTAATATCTTTTCTGACTTCATTAGAAGGGTCTGGGGATCAACATCAATTGGACATTGCTGATACCAATCTATAAACAGGAAAAGTAACCAGGACGAATTAATTCTCTCTGCATTGTTTTCAATAGAGTATATTGCAGTGTCAAAATCGTCTCCTTGGTCCAATGAGGCCTTGAAGTGTCACAATGGTCTCCTGTATTCCATGAGGCCCTGCAATGTCACAATGAACCTTTGGTTCCTTGAGTCCCACATTGTTCTGTGAATCTTTTGTTCCATGGGGCCCTGTAGTGTCGCAATTTTCTTCTTGGTTCCATGGTGCCACAAAGTGCTACAATTTCCCTTTGGCCCAACAGTGCCTCAGAGTGTCACAATGGACTCCTTGGTTCCATGGGGATGCAGTGTGATGATGATCCTTTGGCTTCATAAGACCTCAAAGACTAAAAATGGCCTCCATGGTTTCACAAGGCTGTGCTGTTTCACAATGGACTCTGCACTCCATGATGCCCCAGAGCGTCAAAACAGCCTTTTTGGTTCTGCACTTTAAGAATGCCCCTTTGGTCCCTTGGAGCCCCACAGTGTCACTATTGTGCCCTTGGTTCCATGAGGCCCTGCAGTGCCACAATGGTCCCTTGGTTCCATGTGGCCCCATGAGTCACAATGGCCTCTTTGGTTCCATGATGCTCTGTAGCACAGCAATGGTCTCCTTGGTTCCATGATATCACAATGGACCCTTTGTTCCATGGAGCCCCACAGTGTCACTGTGGTCCCCTTGATTCCATGAGGCCCTGCCGTCCTACAATGGCCCCTTGGTAACAAGGGGTTCCAAAGGCTCATAATGGTCTCTGTGGTTCCATGAGGCCCTGCCATATCCCAATGGACCCTTGGTTCCAAGGGGGCCAACAGTGTCACAAGGCTGCCTTAGTTCAACCCGGCTCTGCAGTGCTGTAGTGGCCCTTTGGTTCCATGAGGCAAAGCAGAATTAGAACGGCCCCTTGGTTCCATGGAGTAACACAGTGCCACCATGGTCCCATTGGTTCTGCAGGGCCTTACAGTTTAACAATAGACCTTTGGTTCCATGAGGTTCCACTCCATCACAATAGATTTTAGTTCCATGAGGTTCCTCAGTGTCTCAATGGCCCCTTGGCTCCATGTGGCCCCACTGTGTCACAGTGGCAGGTGGTTCCATGAGGCCCCACATTGTCCAAATGGTCTCCTTGGTTCTGTGAAACCCTACAGAGCCACAATGGACCCTTGGTTCCATGAGCTTTCGCACTGTCAACAATGATCTGAGTTCCACAGTGTCACCATGGATACTTTGTTCCATGAGGTTCCATAGCATAACATGACCACCTTGATTCCAGAAGGTTCTGCAGTGTCACAATGGACCATTGGTTCCATGCAGCCCCAAACTCTCACAATGACCCCATGCCTCCATGAGCTTCCATACTGTCAGCAATGGTCTCCTGGATTCCACGAGGCCTTGTTCTGATACAATGGACTTTTGGTTCCATGGGGTTCCACTACATCACAATGGACGCTTTGTTCCATGAGGTTCCAAGTGTCACAGCTGGATCCTTGGTTCTGTGGGCCTCTGCTGTCACGAAATGGGCAAAATATCAGAATAAGAATCCTTAACACTAATTTCATATTTAAGAGAGCAACATTTATTCAGGCCTGAGCTCCAGCGGATGATAACTCCTTGGGTGGACATGTGATTCTACCACTGTACTGCTTACATACAGTCACTATGTGTATATTAAAATTTACCCATTTCCATAAAACCAACCACAAATTCCCAGATTCAGTCCTTGCTTTTTCTATCACTGCATTTTTGAGACAGATGTCTTCATCTTCTCTTCCATCATTCTTACTGAGAAAGCAGCCCCTGAATACCTTGTTACTCTACTGAAAGTTCACAGGCACTATAAAAATTGAATAAAACCTTTAGATATCAAG